TCCAACCCCTCAGCTCCGGTGAGCTGATTTACCTCGTGTCGGCCCTGTCTCTTTTCCCTGGTGCCCGCATGGCCTGGGCTGAGTCTCCTACGATCTCCCCAAACTGTCCTGTGTGGTTCCCCCTGCTCCGGACTCCCAGCTGAGGATTCTTTTCCTCGGTCTCACTCACTGTTCCAGAGACACAGAGATAATCCAGTTCACGTCACGCCCTCTGCTGCAGAAAAAAGGGGACAAACCGAAAGGGGAGTGGGAAAGTGGAAACACACCGAACAATTGCCCCCAAATCCTTCCCCAGAGAGAGAAAGGAGAGAACCAATTCTGGCACCTCATTCCCATCTGAATAGTTAGGAGAGAGTTTGTTTCTACCTGGGCACACAGGATTGGTGAAAACTCATAACTGGCATTTGCCATGAGGGTGTAAAACACGGATTCTGAGCCACTTTTGCCAATTCCTTACCTGTGCAGGCATCTCTCAGTATCTCTCTTTCCTCCTCTCCCCGGAGACTGGGGACCCACAGCTCCTCCCTTCACTCCAGCCAGGAGATCACGTCAGGTCTGGAAATGGGAACTCCTACTTGGGGTCAAGCAAACAAATGAGCAACATCAAGTTAGGGCCCAACAGTCAGTTATCTCAATACGTGGCCTGAGTTTCACAAATGCTGAGCCTGCAATGCCGGGGTTCGGTTCTGAGTGTCCAGAGTTATTGAGACCCGGCCACTTATTTCGCTGCCTGACTATGGATTTGGAAATGTACTTTTAGGGTCCCGTAATTAAAGTTCCTGGCCTTGGTCATGTGATTATAGCACAGACTCTGCCCCTGCCACCGGGAATAAATCTGTGAGACATTTGTAGATCTGGCTAGTAACAGAGATTTAATAAAGTCAGTGATGCCGCTCAGATGGCTGAAGACACCCATCTGAGGTGTCTGTGTGGAAGTGTTTGGCAAAATCAGACCCTAAGTTAATAAACAAAACTTACCAAATGGAAGAAGGAATCAGTGTGTGTGCAAAACGGAGAGTTATTGAACCCTCAGAAAACACACATCACAGGTCGTTTTTAACCAGAGCTGAGAGACGAGACTGTCTGACCTAGGAATTCTCTCTGCGTCAAATGTAAAGTTACCAGCCTAAATCCTTCTGCTACCGAATTAGTTCAAAAGTTGATAACACTTTTTAAAAATAATGGTAAAAGGGTTGTTTCCCCCTTGCTCAAAATGAGGCTAAGTGGTGCTTTTTAATCTGTTTCCAAAACAAATTTGCTCTGGACAGAGGCTTTCTACCCTGAAGATGAACGTAGGCACTGCTGCCAGACGGGCTCAGAGCCAAGGTCCATCCAGTGACGTTCAGCCCTTTATAAACAACTGAAAAGGATAAAATTGTGCACCCGAAGAGCAGAATCAAAGGTGCCTCTTTGGGGGATCCTCGTGACCCTGTCCCCAGGGCAGCGTGTCCCCCAGCAGCGCGGGACCAGGCAGAGGCAGGAACGGGCTTTTCCTCTCCCTGCCCCCCCTTCTCCCCTTTTCCCCAGGGCAGTCACTGCCCCGGGGGGGCTGCAGGGAATGGGGCTGGGCGGGGCTGGGAGCCAGGAATCTCCCTCCTCCCATTGCTCCTGCTGCCCCTGCCAGTCTCTGCCCCGGCTCCCTCCTGCCCCCTCGGGCTGGGAGACTCGGGCCCTGGCCCGGCCTGGGGCGGTCACTCTCCCG